TTCGGGAGGTGCCGGGCAGAGTACGTGTCCCGCTGCGTTGGGCGCCCCGCTGCCGCCGTGCGTGGCCCCCTTGTGCGTGGCCGGCGGAGCTGCGGCCTGCCCGCCGTGCGTGCGGCCTGCCCCGGGGCCTGGCGCACCCACCTGCCGCTTCGCACAGATGCCCTGAAGATGAGATCGTTACCCTGTGCTTTGCGGTGCTACGCCAGCTCCTGCCGTTTGCTAGGATCAGAAACACACGATTATATTTTTTTTTGTTATTCACTATAATGATTAAATTGCAATTGCTGTCCCAGAAACTCCCAGAATCGTGCATCAGCATACTTGCCTCGGGAAGGCCTGTTCGATGCTTGCCTGTGTTGTTTGCCATGTTGGCTGTATCAACGTAAACTTCCCTCTGCATGAAATTGAAGTTAAAAGGCTTATATTCTACATTTTAATACTACTTTTTTTCCCCATGACAAATAGAAAATTTAATTTCACTATAGTTGGGGGAAACAGCTGTCAGAAAGCTAGATTGCACAAACTCCTCCCTGTCCAACAGAAAACATGAGTGCACCAGACATTTGGCAGTTAAACTGAATTTGATGCCTGTATTTTCAGGCAGGCAAAGAGATACGATGTCTTAGCACCATCGAAATGATAATTGGAGACATCTGTCCTGCTGTGCAGGTACATCGGGAGGCATCTTTACCAGGGACAACTGAATTGCAAGCAAAAAATTGCAGGTACCTGCCAGTTAGCTGTAATCAGTCAGATTGTTCTAAGTACCCACCTGTCATACTGGTCTTTTTGCTAGCAAACAGACATGGAAAACATCTGCTTCCAAGCGGGTTAGTCAGTGTTAGGAGAAACTGAAAAATAATGCACTTAATTACTATTCTAGAAATTAAAATATTTAAATGAGAAGATACTTTAAGGTACTTACAGGACAAAAAGTGTGAAGAACAAGTGATTAAGAGTATTTTCCATGGGATATCATTGCACTGTTGACAGCATTTTTCTGTCATTAAATCCTTTCCAGCTGTCTTCAGGAGACAGTTGCATGTGCTCTTGAGTATCATGGACATACATAGATACACACCTTACTCTGTGAGCTAAGTGATAGTTGAATTCATTGGTCTTTATTAAATTTCAGTCCTGTGGCCAATGTATTCCCATACTGGCGTGGTATCTCAGTTCTTCTATCTAACTGCATAGTTTCATTATTTAAAAAATTAGACAAAAACTTTCAGCAAGACTCCAAAGTAAAATCTTATTAATTACTTTTTCTTCAAGTAGTTTTTTTCTTTTTTTGTGGGTGGGATGAAGACTAATTAACTTTCCAAAGACAGGCAGTTGTTACTTATTAAGAACACTTCCCACATCTCACAGCTAGAATGCAGAATCTACAATGATAACAGCTGCTGTTGCAGAATGGAAATAAAGAGCAGAAACAAGTAAATGAGAGCTTGAACTAGCCATCATTTTGACTAAACGCAAAGTAAGATACAATCCAGAGTAGGGTGTTAAATACCGCTGTGATGAGATACTTCTTCCCTGTTCAGTTAGTAAATGGTATCATCACAGAGAAGTTGTAATCTTAATGGTATGGTGAAATATGTTCAGAAGGCTGGCTGGCAGGCACAACAACAGCGCAGATTTCTCCTTCTTTATTGTGCAGAGGATAGCATTTATTGTATGATAAACTACTTGCAGTACCATTGTGCAAACTGTATTTAACTTTTACACATTTCTTTAGATAAATTTAAAATGTTAGAAGTAATAAGTATAAGAATAGAGGTACAGAGAAGTACAGTTTTTTCAGCATTTTGATAGTTTGACAGTACTTTGCATATAATTCACCACGTTCCTTTCAAGTTTAATTCATTTACTATTCCCATGAGCCATCTGTAAAGTGGATTTCTTATGAAGTGTAGGGACCTTATGGGAGCTGCTGAATCCAGTGGTCTTCAGGACCCAGTGATGGCTCGGCCAGCCCAGCTGGCTGCTGAAGTCCATCCATGTACACTTTTGGACCCAGGAGGGTTCTTAGGTTCATGTGTGTCCTGGACGAGCATATGCATGCACACACACACATAGAGGGCATTAACACAGCCAGCCATGCAGACTACCATGGCACATTACATTTAACTCTAGCAGAAATCATATATAACATAAGCTCCCTCTCTTCAGCTGATGAGGACTGACATTCCCAAGTGACCGCTCACATGCCCTCACTCCCTATACTCCCACACCCATGTTCACAGGTCCCTCAAATACCAGCCATCAGTCAATCTAATACCTGTGTCTGGACCTTGGCTTCCCTAATCCATCCGTGCATGTACATCTCTTCCTACTCACTGGCTAGTCCATCTTAAATCTGCTAGTGCATTACACATCCACAGGATTAGATTCACTGGGGAAAGATAACTAGTTGAGAAAGACAACTAGTTAAGAAAGGGGCTTAAAAAGAGGATAGACTGCTGTGATCAGGCAGAGAGCTCTGTCAGACAAGTGTACTGACTGCTGCCAGCTCATATGTGAGCCCCCTCCACCCCATTTCCTCACACATCTTCTTAGATCCACCCTGATCCTTCCTTTCCCTGCCTTTGGCCAGTTCTGTGAACATCTCATAGGAAGTTTTACATAATCCCACAAGACCCTGCTGATACCCCATAAGAAGTTTTACACAGTCCCATATGCCTCCTCAAATATCTTGTGATGCTCATGAAAACCATGTTTCCCCCTTCTTACCAGAGATGAAGCTCAGGCTGACTGACCTTCTTCAGGGTGGCTTCTTGGACAGCTTGTTTAATGGCATGAAGAGTTCTGCTCTTCACTATTGTCTTTGTTACCACCTGCTCATTCAGCATTTTTTTGTGCATCTCTGTTTAATATATCACTGTCCTTCTTGTTTCTTATTTCTTTCATACCAAATAGTTCTTAAACAGATGACTTAATGAACCAAATGTTCTTACATCCCACATACCCTTACAAAAACTGTAGTACAACAAAGCTTGACATAAAACTCAGAGGAAGATACCTTTATGAAATTGCTTGTTATTATATTTTTAACGAATTCATCAATTATCTGTCTGCACCACTAAAAGACTTTGAGGGTGGGTTTTTTTGGGGTGTTGGGTTTTTTTTTTTTTTGAGTATTTTATTGAAGAACTAACAAACCACTTGTGTTATCAGTAGGCTGCCTACTGGGGAAGTGAGCTTGTGGAGGAGGGTGGAAAGTGTTGAAGCACTGCCTTTGCTAATGTGACTTCTTTTTTTCCAAAGACAGGAAAAAGAATTTGAAATGGAAACTTCTTTTTCTGAAACCCAAGTCCCTGACCACTGCCAGAGAGGATACTTACTGGTCTAGGGTACTGTTCTGATCTAACAAAACTGTTTGTGTGACATTATTGATAATACCAATAACTCGTGGGTAGATATACAATATTTATGAAAATAAGGTGGCACACTGAAGGAGATCTTCTATATATCCAGAGGAAGTTCATACTGAATTTACCAGATTTAAGCAATGATAGGCATCATAGGAAACCCATCTTCATCGTTGCACTACACACAAAACTTGCTCCAGCAGAGTATTAGCTCTTTACAGAGACAACTATCTCTTGGCATATATGAGTTCAGCTCTGGTTTTGAGATGCTAGGTAATGCAGTAGTAGAATTAAAGAATATAAAATTGCTGTGACATGTGAATTACTTGACATGAAAGATGTTCTTTAATCAAAAGAGCTTTGATGTAGGCCCACAAAGTAAAAAAGATTTCCCTTAATAGCTGACACTTGGCAAATGCTTGGTAAGAAAAAGATCTTAGGCTCCTGATTCTCCTAAACTTGTCCTGTGTCAAACATTTTTCATCTGAATGTGTTGCTTATGGGCAAATGTTGTGCTCTGTGGTTATCTCTAGTAAATCTTAGCACCAGATATGCTTAAATACAAAAAATTAACTGATTCACAAAAAAGAAGAGGGTAGAGTTTTCAGTTAGAAAATTTGGAAACAAAACTATAGAAAATAAACACAGGACAGTAAAACATTGTTGAAGTGTGTCTGAAAATATTTCCTTAGGTGTATTTTTTAATTTTTCTGAGGTATGTATTGGCCACAGAATAAGATTCAGCAGCATTTCATATGCTAAATTATATTTGTCAGAATGTTTATTATTCATAGCTGGTTCCTCCTTTCATCACCTTGGGGCTGGTTTTGAGCTTTTGAATTTTAACCTTCATCATATGCATTCATCTTTTACAGTACCTATTTTTCTATTACCTCATGGGAATGCAGCATCTGGTTTTATAATAAACATGGCTGTGACAAGCTCTGTTTTTTCTTTATGGATTAGTACAAACTCAGCAGATGAGAATTTTCTATATGGTAAAGCTTTCTGCACATTTCTAGCTCTACTGTTATCATATTCCTTAGTTAGAAAATTGCTTCTGCCTTAAATACCGTAACTGCCCATCACAGTATGTCTCACATTAACTGTCTTTTAAACTGTGTATCATAAGAAGCACACATTTAATGTAGAGGTTAGGATATTTAGTTTCACCATATACTGGTGGCTTCCATGGGTCAGAAATAGAATCTAGCAGATATCTAACAGGTGTTTAAGTGACTGCTTATAGTAGTAAATACTTTGAGAATACTAGAGCTGAAAGAAATTATACGGCTGAAAATAATCAGTGGGATTTTTGACAGCTTCTCAAATGTTATACCAGCTTTTCTCTCTTTTTTGACCTCAAGCTAAATACACGTGAATGATGAACAGAATCAGATCTAATCTAATTTAACTACATCTTTTGTCTTTTTGAATAGATACAGATCACTGATACAAATCATATAGTTTA